TATGCTTTTGTTTCTTTGTGTGTTTCTCTCCCTGTTTCCATCCCTGTTCTGTCTCTTTATGGTGATCTGGGTAAACGCTGCTGTGTTTTTGGATCGGTTTGGCTCAGTCTTGCAGCTTTATTGATTGCAGACATGCGACCTATCTGTATTTGTCATTACATTTAAGGTCAATAAACCTCTGAAATCAATATTTATAACAATCGATGATGCATTCACCATTATTTCCTCTGATTGCCTTTTTCTCCCTCAGAGCTCACGGTCCTGCTGCATGCACTTGCCCCCTGGCTGCCTCCTGTCTGTTTAGATGACGCCTCTCTCTGTTTCTTCTGCTCCCTGTAGGAAACACGTTGTGTAAGTCAGGAAGCATTGCTGTCTTCGGGAACGTGGTGTACAGCGGACTGCTGAACGACCACCTCTGGCATTTGGGAGTGCCCCTCTTTACAAGACTGGTAAGCGCAGCCGGCCCCTGTGTGCACGCTTCCCTCTCTTTTGTCAGAAGAGTTTTTGTTGAATCTAAACATGCTTCACGTGCAGAACTCCCTAAAGTCTCTAATGGACCTGCTTTGATGCCTCTTCTGTTGACGTGTGTTAGTTGAAGTTAAACTCCGCTTGCAGGATGCGACAGAGCTCTGCATAGATGTTAGACTGGGGAACCCCTTCGCTTCTTAGTATCTCATTTCATAGCAGACTTCCTGGCTCAAGCTTCAAGTACGCAAATCTCATGTGGGGCGAATTAAAGCTGTGTCGTCTCCAGCTCTGGAAACGCACGAGAGAAACAGTTCGTGCATCTGTTTCCTTCACACAGGAGCTGAACTGGTGTTGAGTTTGACCTTAAAAAAGGCCACTTTATTATTCATGAAGTCTTGTTTTAAAGGCAACAGCTTAAAAAAATCATAAGGCCTTAATTAAGAGCAGGAACAGCTGAAGCCCGAGTTAAGAATTCATGATAAATGTCCATCGGTTATTGTCAGAGGGAAATTGAAAGTTTGTTTTACACACTCTGACTTCTGCAGGATTATGTGCTTGAAGAGATTCCTTTGAAAGGCATAAAACGGCGGCATCAGAGAGTCGTTTTCCGAAAGAAAAGGAAAATTCAGCACAGCACTTTTTCTTCCTGTTAATTACCCTCTTTCTAAGCGGGTCGCAAGTTTTCATCAATGTTTATTATTGATTAAATCTGTCTCTGTGGCTGTCATTTATGAGCCAGGAATTACTGTTGATTGGTGCACAAGGGTTGCATATAATTGGGTTACATTAAATAGATAATTCAGCTGATCTCATAAATGTCTAATGTGAAGGCTTGTTTGATTATCAATTAATGTCAAACGGAGATGCAAAAGCCTGTTAGGAATCCAGTTGGGTTTGCTCGTGTTGCAAATGGAAAAGCTGATTCTGTTTCTTCACAGCTCTCAGCTTTCGGCTCATGCAGTGAGAATATATATATATTATACGAATAAAATATATTCACAGAGGACTGCAAAAGTAGACTACAGCATGCATGCACCGATACACACACACACACACACGTATAAACACAGCACAAGTTTCAGCTGCTAAACAAATCTATGAAAGATGCAACGACTCAAAACAACCCAAAAACACAGCAGCTCCCTGAGATTTTTAGAAAGAGAAATGCAGAATCGTTCCGTCAATATTTCTGTAATTCTGAAGTGTCTTCATAGGATATGATTGAACACTTTAAATAGTTAAATAAACATTTAATCATGCCTATTTATAACGGGTCAGAAATCCTACATTACAAGCAGGAGCTGTAGAGATGGAAAGGACAGGCATTTAAAGTAAATTATGTCACTTTTTCAACCTTTTTGTGCATGTTTGATGAAAAATATCTTAGTCATGAGGCGCCAGTATGGCTTAGTGGTTAAATGATGTACAGTGTAACTCATGTATAGATGCTGTTGTCCCTTAAATATGCAGCCTATAGGTTCAATTCCAGCCTGTGGTCCTTTGCAGTGCGCAGTCTTCTACTCTCTTAGAAAAAGGCATAAAGCCCAAAAGTGAAGTTTAAAAAGTCCAGCAGAGTCATAAAATAACAAAAACTAACCAATTCAGACAGGAGTGGAACAGGAATCTCTGTTCTCTGCAAAGAAGTGTAACTTGTTCTGGCATTGCAGTCTGGTGGCTTGTTGCATATCACTGTTTTATAGTTTTATATGAGTTCAGATCCAGCTGTTATGTTTAGGCTGTGATATTCTGTGAACTGTGAAATGCAGCAGTGATTTGATTGGACAAAATAACAAATGAATGAATGTACACAGATGATACATGGATGTGTCAAGTTTGTGTAAAATTGAAGCAGAACATTGGCCTGATCACTTACATTGGCAAACTATCACTTAAAACAATGATAAAAAAAATGATACCTTTTAAAATCAAAGTGTCCCATTTAAATAGAATTGGATCTGTCCATTTGTAAATAAAGCACCTATGGTATTAGTATTTTTTAACTTTTATTATGTCAGTTTATGTTGTTAGTGCATAAAATTTTAATTATTGCTGCTTTAAATTATCTGAACACATTTTTTTTTTCTTTTTGTTTTTCTATTTTGTCTTGAAAATAACGAAATGTGCTCGTGTGTAAACTAAGTACCTGTGATGTCAGTATTTTTTTAAAAACTTATCTGTCAGACGATTATCTGAACCCTCTACTTCTGCTTTTGTTCACCTCCACTAATACAATATGTGTGTAAATTAGACTCTCATAGTACTGTTAGTTTAATACTATAAAAGTTCTAATAACCTGCAGCCTATTACATAGATTACAAGTTAGTGAATGGGCGACCACTGATTCATTTTTCAGCGGCACACGCATTCATTTTAAGATGACACCTTTCTGGTTTTCCATCTACAGACATTTCTCTGTGCGGTTCTGTACTCTTTGGCTATTTGACAGTTGTTTAATGTCTTTCTGCATTGATAACCATGTTTCTGAATAATCAGCGTCATAACTCGGCTTTAGTGGTTGGTTAACTTTTTTTGTTTTTGCGTCGCTTTGTTCAATATGGTTTTTCATCTTCCATCCCTCTACTGTTATAAAAGTGAGTAACAGCTGGCTTTAGTCATGAGGGGTACTCGCTTTAACAATAACAATATTGTTTCTTTTAACCCCAAATATGACTGAAAAAGAAAAATCCTGCCTTATATGATAAAGAACAAATGTTCAACTTTGCTCCACATTCATGTTGTATACATGTTTGTCATACTTAATAGATAGAAAAAGACAGATTTTGTGACTTCCCCTTTTATAAATCACAAGTCTGCAACAGCGCCGTCATCATCAGACCTCTGTACTTTCATATTGATCCTGGCATAAAGTTGCCGTCCCAGTATGTGATTTCATATTGTGTTGCAGTGTTGGCTGACTCACTGTAATCCCATTTAATGCCTTTTTAACCTCTCTGTTACTGGCTCTGATGCTGCCACAACAGCGGGACGATGTGGTCCCACCATCAGACCTCATTCGTGTTGGAGGTGAGATGTTACAGGGGTGTAAATATGACGCCTCCGTCCGGCTTTATGAAAAGGGTTGCAGCTCCTGTGTCCATTCTCACGCAGCTTATCGAGCACTTGTTGAAGCTGAAGGCGTCACTTCCTGCTGGGACTGAAAGGTGTGGCCTTGTGTAGCGCTCTGTGCGCCTGCTGCTGACACACCAGTAGTATCAGCATGACACACAGCAAGCTTTCACATCCCCAACACACAGCCCCTAATTACTGCAGAGCCCTGGGCCAGTGCCGCCTGCTCAACGCCAGGGTGTAAACACTGCATTATTAACACTACATACAGTCTGTGCACACGGCTTTGTTTAATATACTCAACGCATGTCTACATGGAGGTGTTACTTTAGCCGGATCCTTCATATGGAGCCTTACAACAGATTTATTGTTTCTCCGACAGTGAGCTCCAAAGTCAGCAGATGGGCGGTTTGCAGCCTACATTGTAGTGCTTACAAATGATGTTTAATGATGTCTTCCAGGGCTGAGAAACACAACGTTACCCTTTTTTAAGGCTAAATATTCAGGCTATGTGAGAGCGCCGCAGTTAAAGACATTACAACATAAAACAGGTATTCTTCTTGTTAGATTACACATATTTATTGTCTCCTGGGATGTCTGGATGGCCTAACCCATTTTCTTTTTTGTTATTGCGGCTAACTTATTACGCAATTTTGTTTCATTTTACTAAATGCAAAAAGAAAAAGTAAGCCCATACACCCTTAGTCAACCTGCTCCCTCTTCCCAGCTTTTCCCTTTATGCCAGTCCAATATTTAGGTGGATTTTTTACAAATTTAGGGGTCTTAATCTGGTCATAATAAAACTCAAAAAGTCTACAAGTGTCTGAGACTTATAAAAGCTTATTGACAACAATGCAACTCTTTGAGAGATTATGAATCTACAATAAATATCCCATATCAGATAGTTGTGTTAGTATACTGCCTTACGGCATGCTGTGTTTGTTCTCATACACACTGCAAAAATATTGACAAGGCTTTCTTGTCTAGAATCTAAAATCTAATATGGCTGTTTTTGTAGCAATTCACTGTTTTTTTAGTTGTTGTCTGATTCGACTTCTGTATCTTCTCCCCCTCTCCAAGGATGTGTCCGATCCCTCACTCTGACCACAGACGTACACACAGTCTTGTATTGCTATTGCTAATATACTAATGCGGGTCCTGTGTGACTTCTTCAGTCTAAATCATAACCAAGCAAGCACACCTGTCCATCAATATATGACATTTATTAATAACACACAAACGTTCATCACTAATTCAGTCACATAGATATTTAAGTTAATGTATTTTACCACAAATAAAATAACCTTTTATTGGATAGTTGTGAAGCCATAATGCCTTTGAGGGAGGGGAGCTTTTAAAATTCTGGAAAATCAAGAACAAAACCGTGCTCTCTAGATTTGAAACTTAAGATAATTTTCTCCTTCTATTTCTCTTGTAACTTTTTTGTGTAGCTTCTGCTTGTTCTGCTTCTACCTTTTCCTGTACCTCCTGTTACGCCTCTCCTGCTTCTTCTTGTGCTTCTAATGCTTCTGCTCTGATTCTACACTTCTTCTGGTGCTTCTCCTTCTTCTGTTGGTGCTTCTCTTGTTTTTTCTTCATTTTATTTTACTTCCTGTTGTGCTTCTTCTAGTAATCCTTCTGCTTCCTCCTATGCTAGTCTTGTTTCTTCTTGTGCTTCTTGTGCTCCTTCCTGTGCTCCTCCTGCTTCTTCTTGTGCTCTTAATGCTTCTGCCGTTATTCTACACCTCTTCCGGTGCTTCTCCTTCTTCTGTAGGTGATTTTCTTGCTTTTTTTAAGTTTCTTTTACTTTCTATTGTGCTTCTTCTGCTTCTTCTTATGCTTATCCTGCTTTTCCTTGTTCTTCCTCTTGTGCCTCTCGTGCTCCTTCCTGTGCTCCTCCTGCTTCTTGTTGAGATTCTTCCCTTTTTGGTGTTCTTCTTGCTTTTTCTTGATTTTCTTTTACTTCCTGTTTTGCTTCTGCATCTTCTTCTGCTTCTTCTTGTACTAATTCTTCTTCTCCTTCTGCTCCTCCCTTACCTCCTTGTACTTCCCGTGCTTTTGCTTGTGCTTCTTCCTCATCCTCTTGCACTTTCTTTCCTTTCCTTTCCTTGTGTTTTTTCCCTGCTACTTGTTGGGCTTCTCTTGCCTCTTATTGTGTTTCTTCTACTTCTTTTTTCCACTTTTCCTATTTTTTTTCCTTGTGATTATTCAACTTCTTCTTGGGCCTCTGTTCTTCTTTTTCTATCTATCTTCCTATTTTTTCTTGTTCTTCTCCCACTTTTCCTTTTGTCTGTCCTTGTGACTTTCTTCCATCTTCTACTTCTTTTTGTTCTTCATTTGCATCTTTTCTTCTATTTTTCTTTCTCTTCCTTGTCAATTACAGTCGTCTTTTGATAATAAGTTGCCACCTGTCGTTTCTAGACCCCTGCTAAGCATCTTTACAACCATTAATTCCTTGTGTTGCCCGATTCAAATCAAATTTAATCAAAATAACTGGAAAAAAAGCACATTTGTACACATATGTACTCACAGATTTCATCTAATGATGAATCTGCAGATGTGTTTTGATTTGTAGTTGTTCCAGTTTAACCCACCATACAAATCAATCGAGACTTTTTCACACACATAAGAAAGTCTATCAGTTAATCCCGTTAGATAAAGAAACTATTCAAACTTTATTTGCCTCTATATAAGCACTCGATCCCGCTCAGGGCATTTGTTTTTGGCCAAGTACCTATAAGAAGTCAGCAGCAGCAACTAGTCCAGAAGAAAAGAAAACAAATACTTAAGGATATACAAACCTCACTAAAAATTTAATATCCTGCTGTCTTGATGCTTAAAAAAGGACAGAGAGGGAAAGAAGTCTGTATATTCTTCATGTTTCAGCACTAAAACAGTGTCCCTTTGCACAGCCTCACTTCACTGTGTGCTGTATTTAGAATAGAAATGTCAATACCTACCTGTGGAGCTGATGAGCACAGCCGAGGATCCTCGTCAGAGAGTTGTAAAACGGGTCACTCCATAAAGTGAAGTGTGTGATTAGAGAAAAGAAACCTCAAATAGACTCAGGATGGAGCTGCATCTCCTCCCGCCCCTCGCGCTGACCAATCGGCACTCCTGCCAGCTGAGGCTGGCCGACGCGGGGCCGAGTGTTTGATAAATGGGGGACGAGAGGTCGAGAGCCGTAACTATAACCCAGAGCTCTGCTGGGATTCAGCGTGAAGTGAGAACTCGGAGGAAGTGCGGCTCATTGTCTCCTCTTGAGTCTTTCTAATGACAGAGACGAGAGTGAAGTTTGACAGGAGATGTTCTGTAAGTAGCAGCGCTCTACAGAGGAGAGGTGAGATCATCATAAAATATTAAGACAACAGATCTGGAGTCGGTGAGAATGGGAGACATTTTAGGAGGAGTGTGCGCTGTGTGAGGCCTTCACTTCCTCTGCTCTTTGAAAGCTCTATCTTTATAATGGATGGCAGAGTCTCTGGGGAGTGTCTAGACGTTGGTGGGAAATCTAAATGGTCGGGAAAGCCACTCGCATCCTCGTCGAGCAGTGCGGGAGAGGAGGCGGGAAGCGGGGAGAACCGGGGTCTGCACCCCGAGCTACGCCATCTTCACCCGAGTTCCATTTTTCATCTGTAATTGAAGGAGATTCCTGGAAAGGAGTCGTGGGGATTAAATGAAGCTGAAATGCCCTCAGATTCTTATTTTCTACCTTATTTCCTAATCCCTCCAACCCCAAGTGCCCTCAGCTCCAAGACCATGATGCTCTCTGACTGCACCCACACCACCCCCGCCTGCCTTCCTGCACCTTCCCCTCTCGGTTTTCCCTCATTTTTTCATGCCTCCACCCTTTTTCTTTCCCTCCCTCTCTCCCCCTCAGTTATTTATGAACAGGACTTGAAATAGACTTTAGTATTTGATAAAAGCCTGATCCTTAATCCGAGTTGCCTGAGAAGTGCATTTCATTTTTATTTCCCATCAGAGATTGATGGAGGAGTGGGGGCGGTTACCGACTCTGTGATTGCTAATGTAAATTCATTGGGTTCCGGTGGACATGTTTAAAGATATGGAGGCCTTGTATGTGCGTGGAAACGCCGAGAAGAAGAGATTGTGTGCGTGCGAAAGTGATGGAGAGGCTGGATTGTGATGTGACAGTAGACGCAGAGGAAGAGGAGTTGTATGAGTTGTTTGATGCTGGTTGTGATTTATAAGGAGCGGAAAAGAAAATCTTAAATTTGTAGATTCTTTGAGCGCCATTGTGTGATTTCACTCCCCGCCGCCGCCGCCGTTTGCTTTTTTTTTTTTTCCTTGAAGGAGGCGGGAAAAATAAAACGGGTGATAAATTCAAGATGACAGTTAGGCCATATGAATGAGGCCCCTCGTGTATCAATTCGCTCAAAAAGCCAGCTGCAAATTTAACTCGGCCTCCTTATGTGGCAATTACCGACGGGTAACATAACCTGAACGTATCTGCTCTGTTCATTACGCCAATGTTCTCTATAGCTGGCAAATGTTCTTTAGGATCCTACAGCAAATTAGCTCATCCCCCAGGACGTCTTTTATTGGATGATCCAACACCGGAGGACGCCACAAAAACCACTCCAGCTCTCCGCAGCCTCCCCCCCTCCTCTCCTCTCCTCCCTCCTTCCTTCCTCTCTCTTGGTCGACACAGGGTTAATATTTAAAAGCGCAACGCTCCCGGTCGCTTATTGATGATATGTTTTGAAAATTGCTGAGGCAGGCTCATTGTTACAGTGCTGTCTAAAAGATAGCCAACCCCTCACCCTCTTCTCCTCCCCTCGCTCTCACGGTTCTCCACCCCCCCCCCCCCCCTCTTGTGCGGCCGCCAGATGGAAAACACACTAAAGCTGATAATGTAATCTAGCCTGGCACATGAGGGTGTTTCAACTTCATGTTGATGCTTTTTTTTTTTTCTTTCTTCACCAAACCTGGTCACCAGGCTCAGAGTTTGGGCGCTTTAATTTAGGGGAAAGAAACACAAAGATGGCGAGCATCTGCAGCTGAAAGTAGAAAACAATCCTTCAAGGTTTTCTCTTCCATCACTCACACATTCCTCCCTCCTTTTCCTCTTCTTCTTCTTCTTCTTCTTCTGCCACAACTTGAGTGCAACAAGAAGAAAAAGAAGAAAGAGGAGCAATCTTTTAGCCTCCACTTTCACCAGCATCATCAACACAAGTCTTCACCCACTCCCCCCTCCTCCTCCTCCTCCTCCTCTTCCTCCCCACAGAGCTCTCCACCGGCTTCCTGCTCTCCCCCCCACCACCCTCCCTCACCCTCCCTCCCCGGGACACTGAATTTTACAGTACCGTCTGCAGGATCCCGGTTTGTTCGGCGCTCTCCTCTATGCAGAGCAACACGGCTCCGGTGGAGGAACGCTGGAGGCAGCTGTCAAGCGCGCAGGCTGCTGCTGCTGCTGCTGCTGCTGCTGCTGCTCTAGTTGAGCCTCGGCGCCGTACCGACTGATTTCACATTCACCAATAAGAGACGGCACAGGGGGGAGAGAGAGAGCGAGGGAGAGGGAGAGAGCAGAGAGAGAGAGACAGAGGGAGAGTCTCGAAGTGAGTGGCGTTGGAGAGGCAAGTGGAGTGGAAGAGTGTCAAAAGAAAAAAGAGGTTACAACACCTCCCCAGCTTTCTCTTTTTTCTTCCTCCTGTCTGCTTTTCTACCCCTTTTTTTTCTGAAGAGGAGAAAAAGAAGAGGAGGCTTTAATAATTAACTGAGAGAAAGAAACAGAAGAAGAAGAAGAAGAGGAAGAAGAGGAAGAAGAGGAAAGGGGGGAACCTGAAGTCAAGCCCTGTTGAAGAGTTTTTAAGGGTGGGCTGCAGCCTCATAGGAACAAGGACCTCTCTGTCCACACTCTCGGACTCCTCTTGACTGGCTGGACTGGTCCCAGCGCTCGGCCTTTCTCTCCTTTTGCTCGCCCGCCTGCTGACACCCGCCCCGTTTCCACCATGATGATGTACTTTTGGGTGAGTACCCCCCCTCAAAAACAAACAAAGCCTCGAACCCTCCTTTTTTAAACTCTGGCACCGGCTTCAGAGGGTTGTTGTAGTGTGTGTTGTGTTTGTGTCAGAGTGTGTTGAAGCCTTTACAGTAGATACAGTGAGTGTGTGTGTGTGTGTGTGTGTGTGTGTGTGTGTGTGTATATGTGTGTGTGTGGGGGGGGTTACGCCTCCCACATGCATGAACTGAGACGTTATGTCTCCATGTGTTTTATTGATGCTGGATGCTGCAGCCAGATGCTACAGAGGCCTACATGTTAGCCCTTAAAGGAGAGAGAGGATGTCAGCGTGCGACTGTTACCCACACTAATACCTTTACAACTCCTCTTATTCAACTTCCTCTGACTCTTAAACTACCCAGCATGCAACCTGTCTGTCATTTAAAAGCACATCTCTCAGATTTAAGGTGTGAAAAGGAGCTACTTGGGGTCTTCTGGGGACACATTTTGAATTCCTTTTTGTCTGATTTATTTCTTTTTTTTTGTTTGTTTGTGTTTTTCCATAAATGAAGCAGCATTAGACGCAGAATGAGGATGATTACAGATTGTTAACCAGGAGCTGCTGATTAATTCTGTTTGAGATTTTTCTGCGATTAGTCCGATCGGTTTTGTCTCCTCGGTGGTTTGTTTTTTCTCTCTCTACAACAACATCCGCCCTGCCCCCTGCGCTCGCTGCTTTTCGCATTTACAGAAATACAACGTGAATGAAATTATTCCCCAAATGCAACACATACTTTCCAGCAATATGAGTGTTTGTTAGTTGGGAGCTGTAATGCAGTTACAGATGTGTCCGCTGCAGACTGAGTGTGTGTGCTGCAATCGATCGTGAGTTCGGATTTCTAGAGGAAGAGAGCCTCTTTTTTTTTTTTCTTTTTTTTTTTAGGGGTGCTGAGGAGTTATTTTACCTGCTTGATTCGATTATATAACTTAATACTGAGGCCACTTTTCTGTGAAAGAGAGACAAAACATGAATTACAAAAGTATGCTCTGAATGAAGCAGCACTGCTATCGATTTGTAGCTCGGGTATCCGGAGAGAGAGAGGATGTTTTGGGGCTAAAAGTTACTCTAAGTGGAGAAAACAAGCTCCAGTTTGAACCGCAAGAAAAAAGTTTGTTTTGCAGTTGGAGTGAAAGCGACAGAGAGAGTGTATGATTTCCAAAATAATGTCACAACTCAGAGAAAACCAATCCAGCCGGTGTGGAGCGGTGTGTGTTTTCACAGGCCGCTCAGACACAGGCCTCCCTGATAAGCGTCCTGCGCCGCCTCCTGGGCCTTGATGCTGATTGAGAGAGGCTCGGCTCTGTTTTCTGGCCTCTTTGAAGACGCGCTGTGAGGATGCTGCTCACCTCTTTTCCACCTCCGGTTTCATCACCGATTCTCCCTGCAGCCGGTCAGAGTCATGACCACTCAAACGTAGACGCAGGCTGAGGGAGAGTGAGGTAGTGCTGCAGAGTTCCTCAGCTGTTTTTATTTTTCTGTTAGATAAGGAGGCATCGCTGGTTTGGACCTGGATTGATCAGGATTGAGCTGAATAATGATGATCGTTTAAAAGATGGTCAAGTTTAAAGAAATTAACTGCCAAAATATTTTTAAAACAGCCAATACACTTACAAACTATACTGCAAATTTCAGATACTTTGAGGGTTATTTCTTCTCTACCTTTAAAGGCAAATTCTGACACACTCACATGAACCACTTTGGCTTCTTTAGACCCTTTGCAGAATCAGTTTACTTATAAATAACTCATGAGCAACTATGTGTTTGTATGTTTATAATTAAAGTAAATGTGCTCCACTTTTACTAGCATTAGCTTGAAGAAAGTGAGCATTTTGATTCATGAATTATTTCAACCAGTGTTGTAATTGTATGTCATATGTATTTTTTTAAAATCTTGTGCTGACATTGTAGTCCAGCTGCTGTTCAGAGCGTCCTCTTGCAGCAATCATGATGCAAAATAACAACACTGTGACACTTTTGCAGATCACGTTTTTACTTTATAAAACTGTCAGACAATTAATGTCACATGTCAAATGTAAAATGCACTTTTTGGCTAATTGGTTAAATATCATCAAAGTGCTTAAATTTTGGGCAACCACTTTTGAGCGGGGCATTCAGGTGCAGCTAATGGGACTGATATCTGCAGGTAACTGGAGAATGAAAACCAGCAGAGTACTCTTTAGGAGTGTGTGGATAAAACTGAATAAGCAAAAGAGAAAGCGAACAAACTGAAACTCCTGAAGAGTGTGAATGCTACAATAACCAGGGATCCCGAGACAAAATGGTTTCAGATTAACTGCACACCATATTGACCCTAATTGGACAATCTTGACATGCACTTCTGCAAATTTTTTTTCAGTCTTATCCCTAAATTAATACTAAAAACAATAACTGTGTTTTGCAAAATAATCACTTTAAAGCTACTTTCCCTAATTCGTGGTTTCAAACATACTGATGAAGCAGTGCAACACTTAGTCCAGTAATAAATCTGAAAGTCAAGATCATAAAGTGCATTTGATTGCTTTCATTTAACTTCCAAATCAAGACAATGCCTGAAAACGTTTTGACACTAAAAAGTCAGTTTTCAAGCTTGTGATTATCCGTCTCTAATCTGAAGTTTTGTAATTAATTGCAATTAAAGAAATATCTTCTGACAGCCCTTATTTATGCACTATGTTCATGTCATTTTTACTAAAGTAAAATATGCAAGTATCTCATACAATACCATTAAAATGAATGTAAGGACAACATAAGTAATGCTTATGGTTATTTGCTGTTTCATGGACATCCTCATACATGTTTCTTTAAACTCAAATTCAAACAGACCTTCCTTTTTCCCTTAAAGGTTGGTTTAGTGTTGCATTATGTCACCTTGTACACTAACAATATACGCATATACTGAGATTATCTTGTTGTCTTTAACTTGATTATCTGAGCAAAGATGTGACAGTAAATGGTGCAATAGTGCTGTTGAAAAAGTGACCAAAATATCTGGACAGTCATCAGCGTGTGCAGCCAATGATCTTATTGAAGGATGTTGCAAAGTGAGTCTTTTTTTTAGCTTCATATACTCGTGCATTTTTTTGGATTCTGTGTTTATTAACTCTGGTTGCTAGTTTTAGTCCCAGCTTTGACTTTCTTCTCACTCAACATGCACCTCTTTGCTTTAAACAAACAGTAAATACATGAATCCCTTTCTCTGACTTCAGCTTTAAAGTTAAAAATCCTGCCTTTTTTTTAACTAAAACAGAAGGCTAACTCACCTCTGAATTTGGCAACAAAAAAGGTTTTTTAAGATGCTCTCACAGTTTTGTATCCGAAGCACTGATAGCAAAGAGAAGAGTCAGTGAGTGATGAAATAACAGCTGTTTTTGTTGACTCCAGATAAATCTTTTTTTCTTCTTCTCAGTTTCCATTCATTTGACAAACTTTCTTCTGTGTTTGGAAAGAAAATGTCAAGATCGGTTGTGTTCATACTACTGTGGTTAATCATTGCAATCAGCTTTTGGCAATTTTGATCAGATTTGAGTCAAGGAATAAAAGTCAAAGTAAGTCATAAGAATTGTGATAGATACAAAACTTGTTTGCAATCCTCAAATATTGTGGTTTTCTTTATTTCTATGACTGTTGGAAGTGATGCAGTACCTAAACTATTGAAGGGGGTCATTTCAACCAACTACCAACCACTGTATTGTGTTTTCTAACCAAACAGATGATTCATTTGGCTAAAAAATTGATTAAACAACTGAAAATAAAAGTAAACGCTTTTAATATCTATATTACAAAGAGAAGCAATGACTTTCTTTTTGTCTTGCAGACCTGAACATGAGCATTAAGAACATGCAAGAGTTAAAAGATTAGAAAAAAAAAACTACTGCAGCTTCATGCAACTCTGCAGAAAGCGGAGTAAATCACAGTAATGTGTATGATATGTGTTTTTTTTCCTGCAGCTCTTAGCTCAACGTCTCCTCAGCAGCAGCAGATACAAGAGCTGCATGAGTCTCACATTGCACTTGTCGGTCTTGAGAGCATCACAACCAGAGCATGATCAATGATTTACCACCCATCCCTGGTATCTACAGTGCGTGGGTGGCAGTGTGTCTGTGTCTGTGTCTGTGCGTGTGTGTATTTGTCGGCCAGCGTTTAGCTGAGAGAGGAGGGTGGGACCGCCTCCTGCTTGAACTGCAGGTGGTGAGCATTACCTGCGGTCCCTCCGGAGGCCTGTCAGCCGTGCATCAGTCTGGGGAACCTGCAAGCTCCCCTCATTAGAATATTTATTCACCAAGCAGATGTTCTTATCCGGGGCAATTACCTTTGGCTTACATTTCCCTATTGCCCACTGATATAGATGAATGTGTATACAAAGACGTCCCACGTTATGCATGGGGCCCCTGGGTGCCAACCACCTTTCTTCCTGTATGCATAGCGGGCGAGCCAGCGACCGTCTGGTCTGCCGCAGAACAACCCAAACCCAACCTCAACTCTGTTGCGGTAATTGGAGGAAGTGCAGGGCGACATCTCCTGCGATGGCCACACAGTGATGGAGAGACAGGCCTGTATATCATTCTCTCCACCCGGCTGTTCCTTTGCATTAGAGCCAGAGAGAAAAAGGGAAGAGGCATGGAGTGGAGAAACCATGCATGCTTCTGTCCTCCCCTCAGTGTGATGAATAATTTAGCAGTGCAGGGCCCTCGCTGTCGAGTGGAGATGGTGGTAATGGGGAGACTGGATATATATGGCATGGCAAGGAGCAATGGTTTACGTTAGACTTCCCCGACCAACGCACTCGAGTGTGCCGCAGGCTGCTCACATGGTGTGTTTGGCCCGCATTAATGCTTTGTTTTTATCAGGAGGAAAAACGCCGTCCAAAGAGGAGGCTTAAAAACAAAGAAGGAGTCAGTCTGAGGCTTTAGATCTGTGGTCATTAGCAGGAGTGGATCCCCTTTAGGCAGGCGCTCAATCAAAGCGGCTGTGATTCGCTCATATATGGCGCGTTATACTGCAAATTGTATCTGTAGGTTCCTCAGACGATAAAGAATAGCTCGGAGCGCTCCTGCATCTGCCCTTATTGCACGGTGCATACATGTGCAGCATGTGTTTGGGTTACAGTGCATGCCTCTGGTGAGACATTACAAACCCAGGCAGAGGCGTTTGCAGCCCAACCAGGAGACCGTGTTGAAATTCATGGCGGCGGGCGTGCAGAGGCAGAGCTGATCAGCCATTCTGGGCGGGAGGGCGGCGAGTCCAGGCCGCTGGTTTCATATTGCAAGATGAAGTGCTTGCGATCGTTTGTTAATGTATTAATTGATCTGTGTCCTCAGACAGGCGCATCAGGAGTAGTGTCACGTAGACTCTTTAGTACTCCCCGAGACGCCTTCATTAGCTGCTGCTGGCCGGCTCTCCACCCCCATTACAGGGCCACGTTGCCACACACTTTACCTGACTGCTGTAATAACTTTAGACATTTCTATCTCCCCCGGCAAGTCGTCCAACAGTCAGAACAGTTTGGGGGCTTAACATCAAATGTGAGGCTCCTCTTTGAACGGCTGAGGCTGCAGGTGATTCACTCCAGGGTTTTGCACGGCGTTGTTTTGTCTAGAGGAGTTGTTGCTCTCCTTTTTTTTTTTTTTTTTTTTTCCTTACAAGTTTTAGGAACGGCTGTTGCAATCAGTCATTAACTTCCAGCTCAATGTTTTATAATCTGGAAGGCACACATGCCTTTGTAGCAGAGCTGATGTAAGAGCTCTGCTACAAAGCCAGGGGAAGCTGAGGAAGCAGCCGGGTGGAGAACATCCAGGAAACGTGTTATCTGTTTAAGCGCTAATACCAATCAGAGTTAGGCAACTTCATCAGGCGGGAAACTGTATATGTTTACAGCCCGAATCTGACGACACAGAGGATAAATTCATCAGGAGAAATCAGGATGAATGAGATTGATTCGGCTTCTTTTTCCTCCTCTTTACAGGATCATTAGCAATCACTAGCTTTGTAGTAGAAGTAACAATAATTCTGTCAGCTTTTGGTCTCTCCCCCCTCGGGGCTAATGGGTCTAGAGCCCAGCTAATTGTGATTAGGCTCTGACAGCAGGTTTTACTTGCAGGATTTTCACACCACAGTCCTCTTTGATATTAGCCGCACAGCTGATAAAGAGATTAGATACAGGAGGAGAGAGGAAGGGAGGGTGGAGGGGAGAGAGGGAGGAAGGAGAGGCGAGGAGGGGGGAGGTGTTCTTAAACTACAGAAAGACACCTACACGGGGGAAATCACTGGCGAGTTTAGCAGGAGGAAAATAGATCCGGACGCAGTAAAAGCCTTGCGCTCGCTTATTGCACCTGCTATCATTAGCGCTTTTGTACACATGGTCAGCCTCCCAGGGAAAAGTCATTATCCAGCTGTGCCGTTATTTTTCTGCTGTTTTCTCCTAGTGGAGTGTGACTTCAGGGCTATAGCCAGCGCACCATTTAATGCCTCCAACACAATAAAGGACTCCAGCCTTAATGATGTGGGATTGGATGGCCATGCCTCAGGTTGTCCAGGGGCTTGTGAGCTGTTACCACGAGCGGCCATTTTGCCTCGCCGCTGCGCGTCAATTCGACTCCAGCCATTCCAGAGGAGGCGAGGAATAAAAGTCCGGTTTAATGATGAAGTGCGGCAGCGTTGTTTAAAGCCTCCTCTTCCTTCCTCCCTCTCTTCAGGAGGACGAGAGAATAAAGGCGGGAATAGAAAAAAAAAAAAAACAATGAGGAGGAAAAAGAGCCGCTGGAGTAGTAGAATGGAAAGTTGCCAGTGCACGCCAACTTGCCAGAACACGAGGAGATATTGTCTGCTTTTCACTCCAACCCCAAGTGGTGAATCACGCTCAGAGGGAAGTGTGATTATGCAGAATAATGTTTTAAACTAAAGTGAAGCAGACATTTTACATCTTTCTGACTCGGACGATTAAATATTAAGACTTCTGCAACAAATGATGATCTGAATTTCAAACTGGAGCAGAGGTTCAAAGATTATGCCCCAAATTTCACGACGTCCCACACTCTAAAAATAGGATAACGAAGGCGTCATCTGAGCATTGACAGTAGAACAACAAGTTAGTTTCGGGATGATAGCATATGTCATTGAAGTCTGGGAAACATGGCGCTGTGGCCTAAAAATGTCCCCCTTCAGCTGATGTATGGGAAGAAACGGCTTCTCTCAGCACTGAGTCATTTACAGAGTTTCCTTTTCCTCGTCTCTTTCACTTCAAAAACGCTTTAAAAGAAGTATCAGGTTAGCACCATGTTGTTGTGCGACTCCACTTCCAAAAAAGTTTGGACTCTGTGAAAACTGTAAACACTCTGGTTTATGTTCATACACTTTCTTCTTGGTACATTTGAACCCGCGGCAACTAATTGTGTTCACTCACAGTGGCTTTAGATGTGGTTTTGAATCAATGGGATGACTTCAATTGAAGATTTAGGCTTTTTTTCAATGCATTGCCACCTGGGGCACAAAGATCACAATCATCCTGTAGTAGTTTGGGTCCTTGTCCTTTTCGTGCAGAGATTCCTTCAGATTTACAGGTGATTTGAAGCCAATGCGGTGATTTCAGCTTCAGAGACATGTCTGTTTTTGATGCAGTTCTGCCTCAGGATATAAAAATAGCCACTGCCCAGTTTTGGTTTTGGGTTATGTCTCATTTGTAAAGAGATTTCTCCTGATTTAAAAGTGATTTGGAGCTGATGCGGTGACTTCCACTGCAGAGGGTCATGCCATTTTTTAATGCAGTGTCACCTGGGGCTCAAAAATCACAGTCATCCAGTATTAGTTTGGGTCCTTGTCCTTTTTGTGCAGAGATTTCTCCAGTTTCAGAGGCGATTTGAAGCCAATGCAGTGATGTCCCCTTCAGAGACATGTCTGTTTTTGATACAGTCCTGCCTTAGGACATTAAAATAGCTGTCATCCAGTGTTGGTTTTGGGTAATGTCCCTTTTGTAAAGAGATTTCTCCTGATTTAAAAGTGATTTGAAGCTGATGCGGTGACTTCCACTGCAGAGTCATGCAATTTTTTCATGCAGTACTACCTGGGGGTATAGGTTTACTCTTCCTAACTTTGAAAAGCCCCATTTGATGTCTGAAATGTCGATATAAGTGATGCAGATGGCCAGTACTGATGATTTCCTTCAACTATAGGATTTGACTCAGTTAAGTACAGGATTTGTCTTTCAAACTGCATATCATAATCTCTCACAGACTGTGTGATAGTCCCACATTTTTTTTTTTTAAGTTTGATCATTAAATAAAATCAGTTTGTCCAGCAGGGAACATCTTCTACCCAATAAAAACTCCTCTAAATCATCAGTACGGTGATATGGCTTTGCAGATTAATGTTAACGCAATGCTCTTAAAAATTTGCAAACCCTCCAAATGAGTTTTATTAACATTTTACACAGCTGTCTAAATGTTTTAGAAGTGAAGTAGTTATTATTTCCAGCAGTCTTATTTATCTATTTTTACTTTCTGTGGTCGGCCTGTTGCGCCTGCCAGTAACTCCAGAAGTCTCTCATGGCAGTTCTTCATCCTCTCCTCAGCAGCATTGCAGCAGAAGGCGCGTGCATCGCTAACACGCCTGTGCCATAGATATGCCCCGAAGTGTCAGCTCTCACATAAGGAAAAGATTGGAGGAGAAGCCCCTGTGAGAACAGCAGCAACATTTCCACTGGCAAGCTGCCACGCATGATAAGAAATCCACGTCTGCCCTCACTCTCTCTCTCTTTCTCTCTCTCTGCAACAAATGTAATTTGTGCAGTTTCATACACTTTAGACTCACTTTCTCAAATAGAATCATGAAGCACAAATCATTGGCTCAGTGCTTATTCAAATAAATGTTTGACAAAAGGTTTTAGAGATGTAAAAGCTTGACGCAGTAAATGGATTATTTTTGCAGATGAAGTTATGGAAAGGTAGAAGAAAAACCTCCAAGAAACCAGAACTAATCACTGGCCCTGACTTGTTTTTCAGTCATTCTGAGGCAGAATGTGTAACGCCCCTAAAAGTCATTCAGTTTCAGTCTCTTTTTTTATGTTTCATTGCCTGTCTTGGTTAAAAACTAGATTTTGATTGGTCATAGTTTTAAAGAAATAATCATTAAACATCTATAGCAAAAGTGACAGCAGCGACAACCGAGTCACACATCATTCAAAATCACTACGGTGCATTTCTTCCTTAGTCTGTTGAGAGCTGATGCCTAATTTAAAGGTACAGTGTGTAGAAATGAGAATATTTGAAACCACTGAGTAGGGCTGGACGATATGGCCTCAAATTGATATCACGACATATTGAGCAGTTCACCTCGATAACGATAAATGTACGATAACTACTCCACAAGCTGCTCACCCCCTCCCACATTGACTTGGTTTACTTCAGCCGCTACAACTTTTGAACTATCCTCCATCACACCCGCCTTTCCCGCTTTGTTACGGACTGGATGGGGTGGAGTCACATCTCTGACATAGAACAGCGTCTTAGAGGGACATGAGACCATAGCCTACCTACACACATCCAAAACCAACTTTTATTTATTTATTTATTTATTTTTGGACACTGATTATACCAGATACGGGCAAAATGACGGTTATTGTTGTAAATTTTGGTATTGGTAAATTTTCTGTTTATCGCCCAGCCCTACTACTGAGCAGTCCGATTCCAGATTGAAATGCCCCCTTGCTCGCCTCTTCTGCTGATTAAGCGATGATGGCCTTCAAGAACAAGATCCTCCCCACATTGTCAAGTTTTGACCATTAATTTTTTTTTCTTTTCCCACACAACAGCCAATTTCTTCTACATTTTCTTCAAGCTGGTGCATTTCACTCAGCCACTCATTAGATACAAAATTAAAAATGTGACTAGTTTGTTCGTTCTGTGCTCCTCATAAAGATATGAAAGCCTCATTCTCAGTTTACAAAAAAATAAAAAAATCATATTCACCTGATTATACACAAATATATCCCATTTCTGTCATGTCTGATGTGATAGATATTGTTAAATTTTACAAACTGCTCCTTTAAATGCAAAGAATGCCACCAGGAGCCGTTGTAACTCAATCCAATTACTTGAATATCTTATAAAACCGCCTCTGACAAGGCAAATAGCCAATCACAGTGCGAGATATTAAAGGTGACATTCAAATTTTAAAGGAGGACCGGAGAAGTTGTGCAAAAATCAGCATATATATATATTTTTTAATCGACAATAAATCAGCAGCTTATGTTAGCTGAAAAGTAAATCAAACAAAGTATTCCCGTCTATCATAAACAACGCTTTGTGTGCCTGTCATGCAAGTTTAAGGCCAAAGTATGTGTTATTGTTCTGCCTCCTCATTTGATTGTGTAAAATCCTGTGGGTGTAGCGGGGTAAAGAAATATGTATTGAAATAAATATTTTAATATGTATGAAAAAGGGTAATCCAGCTCTGTGCATGCTGTAGGTCATATGCACGTCTCCGCTGCTGTTTTTCATACATGTGTTTAACTTTATGGTTGCAAAGGCTCCATTCAAACCTTGTTATATACTATTCTCAATCAATCCCGGGGAGTATAAACCCCCCTGTCACGTAAAAAGGGGTTAAGAAACAATGTGGCACACCGGCTGTAAAATTAATGGCAGGAGAGTGACATTAGTGTTATAGGTTATTGACCGATTTCATGGAATTTATGACCCTAATCGAGAGGAAGTGTCAAAGGGAATGAAGCAAATAAGAGTGGCGGTGACAGCAGGGCCGCGCTGTGGCCACTGGACACCACAATTTGAGCCTCCCCAGTAAATTGTAGCTGGGACTTTATAAGTCTCGGCGGAGGCCCCCGCTCACTCCGGCTGCCTGGGTCCTGAGGCCATGCCCCGAGCCTACCTCCATCCTGCAGGTCAGACACAGCCGGCTCAGCGATGATGAGATACGCTACTTCATCTCACCTCATGTCAGCTTTAGCCTCTCTGTGTCAGCCTGTGAGTGTTTGTGTGTGTGTGTGTGTGCTAACACATGCTCGTGCGCGCTCCTGTCGGTGTGATTTAGAGTGTGTTTGTCGGGGTGTGGGTGTTTTTTCTCATGTAGTTTTCATGATCATTATATAACCAACCTGCTGTATGTTTGGAGCTCCCTGTGTCTGCTCCTCTGCCCGATGTGAGGGCTGGTCAAAGCTGATCTTTAAGCTTCAACTAGAAACAGAAATATTCAGCAGAGCACAAAGATGACTGAACCTGTGCTGATAAATAATTCTCACTTAAAAAGCTGTATAATGTGACACAGATGTCACTGTATCCTCATTCACACAGACATTCATCGATTGATAAATATAGATCCTCCTGTATCTATAAATATCTTTACACATACAATAACAAGCTACTTGTTTCTGTTCCAGCTCTTTAGACTCACGCTTTTATCACTTAACACTAGGGGTGGGAGATAAAATCAATACGGTATAGTATCGTGATATTTTGTCTGGCGATATATCGTATCGTCTCATTTACCAAGTATCGTTTTTCTAATTAATTGCTCATATGAAGTCAAATCTATGATAATGGAAAAATAAAATCAACCGTTTGTCCAGTGAGGTTGGCAGAGGTGACGTTATAGAGCAGGAGAAAGTCAGTACAACAAATATATATATATATATATATATATATATATATATATATGTATATATATGTATATACATATATATATATATATATGTATGTATTATATATATATATATATATATGTATATACATATATATATATAAAAAGGGATGTATTTATATATGTATATATATATATATATATATATATATATATATATATATATATATATATATATTACTTATTACTGAAGGCATTAAAACTATGAATGAACACATGTAGAATTTTGTACTTATAAAGAAAGTGTGAAATACCCGAAAACATGTTTTATATTCTAGTTTCTTTAAAATAGCCACCCTTTGCTCTTGACGACAGAAGTACCTTGTCAGGGTTACTTCAGGCACTCCTGTGAAGTAAAAACCATTTCAGGTGACTACCTCATGAAGCTCATTGAGAGAACAGCTAAAGTTTGCAGCGCTATCAAAAAAGCAAAGGGTGGCTACTTTGAGAAATCTAAAATATAATACATGTTTTCAGTTATTTCACACTTTTTTCTTAAGCACATGATTCCACATGTGTTCATTCATAGTTTTGAGAAGCTAAAATTTAAATAGTAATGAAAACAAAGAAAATGCATTGAATGAGAAGGTGTGTCCAAACTTTTGGCCTGTACTGTATATATATATATATATATATATATATATATATATATATATATATATATATATATATATAGGGTTTGCAAGATATGCTACATGAAAATAAAATACAGCGTAAATAATACAAACATAGAGGAAAGACAAATGTTAAATTAGCTAAACACTTACAAAAAAAGGATGAATTGCAATAATATTGTATGGTAGCCCAAGTATTGTGATAATATCGTATCGTGGGACCACTAGTGATTCCCACCTCTACTAAATACACTGAATTTGTAAATTTATGTGAAATGGATTTGTCTTAATAGTTCACACAGACATCATAAACATAGATGTGTTGAATATAAATGCTGTGATAGAAGTCCAACCCTTCATGGTGTCCTCTTGTCTTGAGTAAGGCTGGAGACCTACTTGAAGTGCAGATTTGTGTTCGCTGAGAGTCTGGCTGCATCATGAGCATCCTTGTGAATATACTTGACTATGCATAGAAGGTGTATTATTGGAGGATTCCTCCAGAGTGTGTGTCATAGAGCTCAAACTGTATACAACTACTGTGAACAGCAGACACGGTCACACCTGAGGGGGTAAATGCTGAGATCAAAGCAGGGGAAGCGGCAGTGATGGTAACATTGGTGGTATATTTAAGGCCACTTAATTAAGCAAAGTGGTGACTTTCTGAACCACACTACCAACTTCAGATATATAATAATCACATCCGACCCTAACACCTAACTAAGATTTGTGTTTGCAGTCCCGACACTGCTCAGCAGGGCTTTTTTTAAGAAGAAGGCCTTTCCACTGCTGCAAACTTAACCTCTTAAATTTGAAAAGTGTACCAAGGTATTTCACATTTTTTATCGCTAACTTTAAATGCAATTCATTTATGCTATGAGGTGAGCCAAAGTCATTATATTTTTGAGCGTGGGGTCACTTAAAGAGCTGCCATTATTGTAGGGCTGGGCGATAAACTGAAAATTTACAGATACTGAAACAATAACTGACGACATTTTGCCAATATCGGTATATTTGGTGTCAAATAAATACAAAAAAGTTGGTTTTGGATGTGTGTAGGTAGGCTATGGTCTCGTGTCCCTTTAAGATGCTGTCCTACGTCAGAGACATGACTCCACCCCATCCAGTCCGTAACAAAGAGGAAAAGACAGGTGAGGAGATGGAGGATGGTTTAAAAGTTTTAGCAGCTGGAGCGGCGGCTGAAGTAGACGAAGTTAATGTGGGAAAGGGTGAGCAGCTTGTGGAGTAGTTATCATCCATTTATCATTATTGAGGTGAATTTGAGCATTTGAGGCCTTATCGCGCAGCCCTACATTATTGATAAGGTGGGAATGAGAACAAATTGCAAACTGCTGTGATTGCAGGTGTTGCTGCATGGCTGCATTGCTAGTTATGGTGTCTATACACTTCTTAAAAAAACAAACAAACACATTTTAATGAAAATCTTGTTTTTGCATCTTTAACTCCAACATGCTGTATTGACCTGAATGTGAGCCCTTTTTGTGATATTGTAAGGGGAAAAAAAAGAAAAAATCACCCACCCTGCCGATGCCAGGGATGATGAAAGATGGGGGACACTGGACAAAGCTGCAAAATAAACAAGATTTAAATGTTGTGTTTACTCTGAATTATGTACAGCTGAGATGGTAAATCTTTTCTCAAAGGCTTATTAGTAAATATTTGTCAGTTTTTGACAGTTATGTGTCTCCGCTCATATCCACAATTGATCACTTTTTACTACATTTCAATCTGACTGGCATTCAAAATGTCCATTATCAATCATTACTGCCAATCAAAACCATTCCCTTTATAGATTTGGTCAACAAAGACAACATTTTCCAAGAATTAGTCAGGTTGAGGGTAATCCTATATTAGGTGTAATACGGTAATATTCTGCACCCTTTTCACAAAATGCATTTGGCACAAGCATGAACTTTCAGCAGCCAAAACAGCCTGACTTCTGCAGGAGTACCCGTGAATATGCACATAAAATAAGGAAAAACCCTGCTGCAAAACTATCCATTAAAAAGTCAGTTTTTCTGGAAGTGCTGAGACTCACACTTTCAAAATAAACAAGATTTAAATGTTGTGTTTACTCTGAATTATGTACAGCTGAGATGGTAAATCTTTTCTCAAAGGCTTATTAGTAAATATTTGTCAGTTTTTGACAGTTATGTGTCTCCGCTGTGACAGATGCACCAAGTCACGACCAAATATCTTATTATGATCCAAAAATTGACTCTGACTGAATAAGTTTACCAGGGTTTGGGAGGAGAAGTGCAACAAATGTAGCTCTAAATGTCAAAAGGTCAGGTGTTTGGTATTATTTTGAAGATTAAGACATACTTTTGACATAAATATAAGATGCATAAGATTGCTAAAATAGATAAATGATGATTGAACATGTCTGAATATGACATGGCTGGCAATAAAAGAAGAGAGGACTGAGCAGAAGAGTTGATGTTCGTCAGATGCTGCTTGATGTGTTTTTTTTCTTGAATGTTTCCTTCAGGTGCACAGAGACGGTGCTAAATAGAGGCGAGGAATGAATATTTAAAACAGGCTCACTTCACCCAAAGCTGCTTTCATTCATCTAAAAATAGCAGCTGACATTATCTTGCTGTCAACAACCGAGTTCAGGCCTCTCTACAAGCAGAGGCTCTGTCCCGTTTGTTCACCCGCAGGTCCTCCAGGCGATGTGAGGACGGTCTGCTGCCGGCCGCCGTTCTGCCCCAGCAGCTCTGTGGCTTTTTGTGCACTGGCTTTTGTTGCAGTGCACTAACCTGCTTTAAAATCCCTTTAGTGTGGTTGTGACATGCCGTGCTATCACATCGCGGCCTCTGCAGAATGTATAGAGCCATTCAGACACTGTGCAGAGTGAAATGAGTTTTATCCAGCGGTTGACGATTGAATGTAATGGCACTCTCTCCGGGGAGCACAGTTTTCTCTCCACTGATGTTCACACTGATACGATGCAGCGCTCGCTCTGTGCCGCTGAGGAGCAGCTTGGTCTCAGCTCTTTTAAATTATGCATTTCCATGACTAGAATATGGGAAGAGAGTGTGCCAC